TGCCTCATGCCCCAATACAAAATTGTTGGCTTCACCCTCTCCACTAATCACAAATCTTTTAGTAACCAACTAACCATGTCTCAAAAACGCTAGATAATTTATTTTAAGGACAATTACAAAAGTAAAAACTAAAAAATTCTAAAGTTTGACCCTTTTAACAAAATAAACTCTAAACTTTTAATTTTATGTATTTAAACCATAAAATTTTAGTTTGTTTTCAATCTAAACTATTTGTCTATTTACGTTAAAAAAAAAACGGGTATTTTAGTCATTAAACTAATATAGGTATATATATGATATTTAAAATAATTATTTTCATTAGTTTAATAACTAAAATACTCACTTTTCTATCGATTTAACTTAATGAAAATAGGCAATTAGTTGAAATTGAAAACAAACCAAAAGTTTAGAGTTTAAATTGATAAAATTAAAAGCTCAAGGTATTTTGTTACACGAGTCAAACCATAGGTTTTTTCTCCTTTATTTTATTTTATTTACAATTTCCCCCTTTATCTTATTCAAATGGGTATTGCTAATGTGGCATTTAGTTTTGTTTTGTTATTTCAAAACTTAAAAATTTCATGACTTTTATTATGCACATTCATTTTTAACATGTGTATAGATTAGTTCTATATATGTCAAGTACACTCATGAAATTGAGATTTCAACTTTATCAAATCCGAACACTAAATTGATGAGCAATGTTAGGTACCTGATATTCTATCTTTGTGGAGAAGTTATTTAGATTAGTTCCATGATATGTCAACTTCACTCATGAAGTTGAGATTTTTAACTTTATCAAAATCTAAACTCTAAATTGATTAGGTACCTAATATTCTATCTTTGTGGAGAAGTTATTTGGTGGTTTTAGATTATTGCTACACTCTGTTCATGGTGAAAGATTTGTCCAATTGTCTCTTAAAAAGGGACAAAAAGGTGGTAGATTTCACTATCTCAACACTAAATGATTTTTAGAGGGATTTGCGTATATGTCTTAATAGATGGATCAATCAGTTTTATGAGAATTAATAATATTTTTCATAAAATATTATTAAAAAAATGTCACTAATTGTTAAATTTCAACGACAGTTTGAAAATTGTTATAAAAAATGTTACTAATTATAGTTTTAGCGACAGTTTAAAAAAATTATCGCAAAAAAAAGATTACTAATTTTCAACTTTCAGCGATAGTTTGAAAAATTCGTCACAAAAAAAAGTCACTAATTATAAGTTTTAGAGACATTTTATAAATTGTGACCAAAAAAAAAAATCCACAATTATCAATTTTTAGAGACGTGTAAAAAATATCACAAAAAATAATTTTTAATGACAATTTTATTATGATTTATTTTTAATAAAATTTGATGAGAAATTAAATCCGAGATCTATTGATATTTTATTCTAATTTTTATGAGTGTGTTTTAATTATTAGGTAGGGAAATCGGTACACATCATTTCACTAAATCGGTGGTTGTATTTAGTCCACGACTACCAGTTAGTTTAAAATTATAAGATTCAGCAGTTGTGTCATTATTGGAAGATGTGGGGGCCTGTTTTTTATCGTCTTTTCCCTTTCGAAGAACATGCATAATGAAGAAATGGATTGTTATGTTTTTTTAAAGTCCTTTTTTTTTCAATTTTTTTTTAAAAAAAAAATCATTTATATTTCAAACAAAGAAATTTGTTTGTTGAAGGAGATTTTGATAATTGGCTTCAAATTTCTTACTTTGAAAAATTTAGGCTACAATTTTAAATTATATACTTAATTTTGTAATTCTTCCCCATTATTTCCATTTTTATCATTGGAAAATGACTGGTAGCTCGAAAGTGAAGGGTCGAATGGGTCGAAAATATTCTCTTACCGGTAAGAAAATACAAAAAAAGCCTAAAACAACGTCGTTTTGAGATTTCGAGCCATTCGACCCTCTGATATTTCGAGTTACCAACCGGAGTTGTTTATCATTGACCTTATAAATTTCTTTGCCTTTCTCTGCCTTGATACAATGCAATTTCTTTATTCAAAATAGCAAAAATAGATTAATTTTATTAAGTTCTTTTATTCAACATTTTATATTCATAATGGTTCTTGATTGATAGATCTCATTAAAAAGATTTCAAAAATACTAATTTTATCATAAATGGATTTTTTTTTTTATAAAAAAAATTGAATTTTGAAAATTTGGAAATTATTCCAAAACTACATAGAATGTTGATTCTCCACAACCTTAACAATAAAGGGTATCTTGGTCAGGAATGGGGTTAGACAGTACTTTAGGAAGATATTTTCTAGGAAAATTTTATTTCCACACATCATTTTATCTTTGTACACATTATATCTCAATTCAAACACTTATAAATTTAGTTATATATTATTATTCTCATTCCATACACTACAAGTTCCAATCATTGCCCTAATTCAAATCTTGTACACATACCACCTAAATAGGGTTTCCACCCACCTTGTAACACAGCTACACACCCTCACACGGTGAAGACCCATCTTCCAGCAAAACACAACTCCATTGAAGACCTACATTGAGCTCCATTGCATTGTTGAAGGTGTATCTCCCTCCCATTTGAAGATTTGATTAATGTTCAACATTGATTTTTTTTTTTGATACCGGATTTTATCTCCCTAAACCATCTATCTCTCATTTTCCATAAACGATTGTTTTTTCTTAGAAGAAAATTGGTTTTGCTCATTTGGTACTGGTTTTTCGAATAAAAAGGGTTTATTCGGTTGGTTACTTTTGAATATTTTGTAAAGTTTCGATTCTGTAATACTGAATTTAAGTCTTCTGTTAGAAACTTGATTTCCGAATTTGTTTAACATTTTCAGTTATGTACTCTCGAATTTGTTATAAATATTTGGTAGTTGATCTTTGATATTTTTATATTTATTCAATTTCGTACTTTCAAAAATTTTGTGCACACGGTAAGAAATAGACAAACCTCATCTTAGATCTAAGGGACAGAGAACACGGGGTCGTTCATTTGGCTACCCTACCAAACCTAACATTTCATATGGTTGAGTTCAATCTTGAGTTTCATAAAGCGTTTGAACATATGGTTGAGTTCAATCTTGAGTTTCATAAAGCGTTTGAACATTTGTTTGTGTATGAACACATGTTATGAACTTCATGAAGTTCAAAACAACCCATATTTTTTATTTTCTTTTTTGCAAATTTTGTTCCATTGTGGACTATATGAACAAATAATATTGTTTATTATGCAGATTGAAACTCAATCTCATAGTTGAACTCACAATGAAGTGTAGCAAGCAATGAAGGACAATAGAGAAAGTGAGAAACAATAGAGGAACTAGGTTTTAGTTTTTGTATTTTCAAAAGATGCATACTAAGAATTATTATTTTTTAAAGATGCGTACAGAGAAAATCTGAATTTAATTTACAAAGTGTGTATTAATGTCCATTATGGTCATTTTGCTACATGGTAAATATGGTCATTTATTTATTTATTTCATTAAGTGTGTAAACAGAGACGAAGAGCATGTGAAAATAAAATTTCCCTACTTTCTGTGTTTTCATATTAGTAAAAATAAATTGTAAGGTATTCTCATCAAATCTTCCAATTTTAAATAGGGTTATGTTTCGATTCATATCTTATTTTTAGTGTGTCATATGCAAAAGTATGATGTTTGTTATAACTAATCCTTTTCAATCATAACTAAATAAAAAATATTGAGTCATAACCAAACGTTACATATAGTATAACCAAAAATATTTTCGATCATAACTAAAATAATAATCACAATGAGTTATAACTAACACCATAATAAATTATAACCAAATAACACAAAGATCATAACTGGGGCATACGGTAGACACTATCACTAACACTATGTATATTGTAAAATTTTCCATTTTAAATATAAGAGAGGCTTCTCTCCAGTCCAAATTGGATTGGTGAGAGTTGTCGAGCCTTCGTGGGTCCATCACAGAACCCGCATCGATGATTTAGACCGTTCGATGTGTAAAGTTCGTCAAGTACTTCATCCTTAGAAAAAATCACATTGATCAGATATCAATAACTATTTAATAAGATCACATTTGTTGTTGACATAAATGTAATCTAATCAAGTAGCTATTTATTTTCGATCAACCTGATTTTTTGCATAAAAGAAGTACTAGGCTTTTATATATTGAATGATTTAGATCATTGATGCAACCTCCATAGTGGACCTATAGAGGCCTAACAACACTCTCCAGTTGATAAATCCAAATGGAGAGAAACCAAGTCCGTTAAATATCATGTAATATGTCATTGATGTATTGATTTTACAACATCACCTTTTACAAGTTATAGTAATGACAGGGAAAATATCCAAATTTGTATATTTAAATTTAGACAATATAACAAATTTAGTAGATGAAAAAGGTGTGAAATTCATTCCATAAGATAACAAATGTCATTTTCTTTCTTGGTCCTTTTTGGTTAGGACAAACAAATGGTTCCTTATTAAATGTGAATCGTCAAAGTCATACCCAACGAAATATCATTGGTGTTCCTGTGTTTATACTTTTTGCTAATCATTCTATATGTATGCCACCTCATATTCTTCAATCATCCAATACAAAACTATGAGTTTCATTTTCTCCATCAATCACAACACCCATATAGCACCACATGACCGTACTCTAGGAGCACCATAATGTGATATATATATATACCCAATGCATTATGCATGTGACAAGATATTAATGTTTTGTTTGGTTTTTTTTATGAGATGAAATTTGTTAAATTTTTCTTTAATTTTTTTTTAAAATAAATATTTTAATTGAATATGAAAAACCTAAGTGACTCGTGATTCAATATAAATTTAATTGCAATAAATCCCAAACACACAAACTAACAATCTAAATCATCTAGCACGTATGAAAGTGATTTAGATTATTGTTTCACAATAAATAAATCTATACAAGAGATTTAACGTGGAAAAATCATAATTAGAGCATCTACAATTGTAATAAATAAATAAATAAATAACACGAGCGAAAGGCTACTAAACGATTCACTATGAAGATAATGAAATTACACAAGAGTACAAACAATAACCCAACTCAATCTAGTATTGTCATCCACTCCTTGTGCCGCTTCCACCAACGCCTTCGTCTCGAGATTGAATAGCACGGTGTTGAATTCACAACACCTAAGTTGAATCCACAACTATGAGTTGCTTTGAACTCCTTCAAATCATCCAGGCTCAACATGTCAGAATCCACTGATGAACACTCTTGATGGTTGAATGGAGACAAGCTCCTTGATGCATACAAATCAATTCAAATGAGATAGCAATCTCACAATGACATCAAGGAAAACAATGAAAAGTGCCTTAGCAAATTGCTCAAGAGTACTTGAGACTGCAAACTCAGATAAGTTGCATTTTATAGCAGTCAGGGTCGCACAAGCCGCTCGAGCGAAGGAATGTTCACTCAAGCAGTGAGTCTAGAACGCGCATACACATAAGTGCCTTCGCTCAAGCCACTGAATGTGAGCTCCAGCAAAGAAAGCAAGCTCTTAGAAGTTTTGCAAAGGGCTTGAAGTACGAAGAGCAAGGATTCTTCGCTTGAGCGATGCAGTGGTTGCTCGAGCAATCCAAGAGAAAACAAAGGACAAAGTTTACATTTGAAAAGTGATTGTCTACAGAATTGACAACAAAAGAGACCTAATAATTTCCCCCTTTGTCAATTCTCGAACAAAACACACCTAACATTTTTCCCTAACAAACACACACTTCGAGACACAAACCAAATAACAACCTAACCAATCTAAACATCGTGCGAAGAGAACTATCCTGCAAAGAAAACAAATAACGCACAAGTGCTAGAAAGGATAGGAAAATGATTAGCAACAAGATATAAATCCAAAACCAAAACCAAAAATGATTAGCAGCAATATATGAAGCCAAAACCAAAACACAACATGCTATCATCATCATATCATACTCCCCCTTTTTGTTCGGGAGAGACAAAGGGATAAAAATAAAGAAAGAAAACTAAACAATCCCAAAATAACAACGAACAAGGCCAGCAAAGAGTAACTAAGAACACATAATATGCTAACTACAAAAATGTGGCCCAACAGTAGGAGATAATAATAAAACATGTCCAATAGATAATAATAAAATAAAAGCAAAAATAAAGAAAATGTGTCCATAAGAGATCAAAGCAACATCACTTAAATGGTAGTGGAGGTGGAGACTGTTGCATCTAGAGCATAGAAAGAATCTGGGCAAGCTTAAGAGAGGACTGATCCACGGCATGCTCAATCCGCCCAGTATAGGCCTCCAACGTAGTAAGGCACCCATCAGTGGATGTCTCTAGATCCGTGATCCAAACATCATAGACGTCCATTCAAGCATTCAAGCTATCAAAGAGCGCAAACATGGCTTGCTCTATTTGGCGAAATTGTCCCGAATAGAATGAGCTGGGAGAGCCTGCTCTCCCTCACCAGTAGCTACAGTATCCGACTCAGCATCTTCATCTATTTGGTCCTCACCTACACCCGAACCACCCACCCCAGACAAAGCCCCCTTAACATGGGCTTGACTCTGAGACACCGTCTTTTTGGTGATAGGTTTGATTGGACACGCAAAGTCATCATTTGAAGATGAGGGGACTGGGATAGACTCAAGTATTCGATTGATGAGACAACCATAAGGAAGGCCTAAATATTTTTTTTCCTTCAAACATAAAAGTCATTTTTTCGACAATCATTTCGAGAAGATCAATAGGGAGACGACGATCTATACAATAGAGGACATAACCTTGGTCCTGAGACATGTTGAAACTATAGGTAGTGACATAAATGTTGTCACAGACAATGATGTTCAAAAGACGAAAACGTGGAAAAAGTTCATTTTGACGAATAAGAGCCCTGGTAATCCAAGGCTAAGGTGTGACACAAATTTCAGAAGCCACCATGTCAAAATCAACATTGCGAGTGGCAAGAAAAGGAAAATGACAATTATGCACATGAGGAATGTTGAGAAAGAATTGAATGTATTCTGTATTGACAAAGATTTCCTTGGAGCGGGCCCGAGTCTTGAAAGAAGTGGAGACTTTATCAATGGAGTGGATGTTGCAATAAAATTTCTGGATCCAACTAACATTTTGTTGGCCGGAAAAGTGAAGAACAAGATCACCACCCAAGGCATCAAAAAGCGACCAAATGGAAATAGATTCAAAAGTAGAGGGTTGGACATTTCGTTCTAGATGAACGGTCATCGACTTGTAGAAATTTCGATAAAAGATGGCTTTTTCTTTTGATGGAAAAAGATTTGTGTTATAGGCAAGATGGGACCCAGAAGACCTGCACTGTTTAGATGATTTTGCCATGACAGCTAGAACTAAAAGACATGGAACACAGACAACCCATAGACCAACCCCCCAGACAGAAACAAACAGGCACAGTGAAACCCCCACCAAGGACACCCCTCAAAAGCCTAAATAAACAACCCACCAAAGCAATCTACTGTGTACAGGGTTAACAAGTCAAGTGTATATAACAATTATCAGCATGATATAGTGGCTGAGTGGAAGACATAAGATGAAGCATAAACTACCAAAGCAAATAACAGTGTACACCTTTTTTTTTTAACAGATATAAACAAGGGAAAACAAAAATAAATAAATAAAAATGAAGCATACATTACATTAAAGATAGGAAAAGAACACACAGAATTAAATTATTCTAAGACCCTCAAAAATATAATAAAAGAAACACAATAAAAATATCAGAAATCCTCAAACATTAACACAATGAAGCAAGAGGGCAAGGGATATGTAAATAAAAACTAAGAACCACCAAGAAATAAACCACAAGGAACTACATTTTGAAGAATAAATGAACCAAAAATGAAAAACAAAAAAAAAATAAGAAAAGAAGAAAAACTTACCAATAAGTGATCAAAATCACTAGGTGAAATAAGAAATCAAGAGAGATCGAGTGGAGGAAGGACAAACAGAGAGAGACCTAATGCCCTAGGAGAGAGAAGAGAGAAGTAGAGATTCAGAGAAAAAGTAAAGAGAGAGAAGATAGACAGAACTATTTAAATCAGTGCATACCGCTCGAGCGAACCCACTAACAAGCAAGCCATCGCTCGAGAGCATAGAAACGCGCCTCTCAGGAGTTTGAAACACCTGAAAAAATACTATGAGGAAAGTTTTACCGCTTGAGCACAAGAAGCATCGCTCAAGCGATGCCAAGAAAACAAGATACATCTCTTTGTCCTCAAACACACCTTTCTAAGCATCCAAAATCACTCATCCAATAGAGTATCACCTGAAACAAAAATGTATTGGTAAAGATAACACTAATGTGATACTAAGATGGGATAATTATACATCATAAGACCGTCAAACTTGCAAGATAGATAATGTGAATATGAAATCATTAGCAAGCAAGGCGAGGTTTTTGAAAATCAAGCATTTGTCAATACATGAATACCCAGCTTAAGTGCAATCATGAAGTCTCATACGAAGGAGTGTGTGTGTGTTTGTGTGTGTGAGTGCAATCCTTAAACGTCCACACCCGCTAGGGTTAATCCTAGTAGTGATCTGATGGCTAGTCCTCCAGCAAGAAAGTTTGAGCAGAACTAAGAAAAGTCAAACAACCAGTGATCAAGGGGTATTTGTTGAGTAAGTATGAAAGCTCCCCATCAGTCAAGGAAATCAATTTTTTTAGGGCACTCACCGATGGCTTTCACGCTCAGATTATAAAAGCCAAACTAGAGACGAATGGAAATATATAATGAAAGCCTGGTTGGTGCCTCTGAGGTAGCTATTTCCTCATGCTTTGAGATCATTAGAAAATAGGGAAAAGCCATGGAAGTGCAATAAGATGGATGGTGGCTAAGAGACTCAACATCACCTATGATATGTTGGCAAAAGGTCAATTTCCCATCAAATGCACTAGATCCCAAGCTAGAAGTCCATAGAGAACTTTGATCACTTATGCGGAAACCCCTGCAAATGCTTAACTCAAGGATATGTACATAATGAGTTCATGAAGCAAACAAGCATGTACATTCATCATGAGCAGAAAAACAAGCAGCTATTTGACCCTTGCATACAAAATGAGTTTACCCACAACCACTTATGTAACAAGAGACAATCTAGTCAATGAGAACTACACCCGAGATCTTTCTAAGGAATTCAAACCTAAGAAGATCAAGGGGTTTGGTAAAAATGTTAGCTCTTCGATGCTCAGTAGTAACATGTTCAAGAACAACGAGACCCTCTTCAACTAACTCTCGGATGAAATGGTGACTAATGTCAATATGTTTGGTACGAGAGTGACGAACCGGATTGCAGGAAATGTGGATGGCACTAATGTTATCACAGAATAGGCTGAGTGTGCTCTGGTCTAAACCATAATCATGAAGCATTTGTTTCATCCAAATCATTTGAGTATAACAACTCCCTATAGTAATTTACTCTGCCTCGACGGTCGAAAGAGAGATGGCATTTTACTTTTTGCTATGCCATGCAACCAAGTTGTTGCTGAGATAAAAACAACCCCCAAATGTGCTTTTGCGATCATTCACACACCCTACCCAATCGACATCAAAAAACCCGGTAATTTTGGATGTAGTGCCGGAAGAGAACCAGATCCCATACCACAAAATCCCACTTACATACTTGACAATGCACTTGACAGCTAGAAGATGGGACTTCTTAAGACTAGCTTAATAGCGGACAAGGACACCAACACTAAAAGCAATATCAGGTCGACTCGTTGTAAGATACAAAAGACTTCTTATCATGCTCATATAAAGAGTATAATCAACATTAGTGCCAGAGGAGTCTTTAGACAGATGAAGAGTTGTTCTCATCGGGGTATGTGTAGGTTTAGCAGACTCAAGACCAAACATAGACTCAAGATTCTTTGCATGCTCAGTTTGAGACACAAACACACTACATGACAGTTGTTTAATTTGAAGACCTAAAAGGAAAAACAACTCACCTATCATGCTCATTTTCAAATTCACGTGTCATGCAATCCAAAAATACTTAACAAAAGATTCAGATGTGGATCCAAACACAATATCATCAACGTAAATTTGAGCAACAAGAATTTGTGACATAATATGTTTAACAAATAAGGTCTTGTCCACGCTACCCTTTTTAAAATCATTGTCAATAAGAAAAGAGGTCAATCTATCAGACCAAGCATGAGAGGCTTGTTTCAATCCATACAAAGCCTGGTCTAACTTGTAGATATGATTGAGAAATTTAAGGTCCTCGAAATCCTTTGATTGCTCAATAGAGGCTTCCTCTTTCAACCACCCATTTAGAAAAGCACTTTTAACATCCATTTGAAAAAGTTTGAAACCAAGAAAGCATGCAACAAGAAATAAAATGCGAATGGATTTGAGACGTGCAACATGGGCAAACGTCTCATGATAGTCAACCCCTTCAACCTGCATATAGCCTTGAGCAACCAACCTAACCTTGTTCCTAATGACAATACCATTCTCATTAGATTTATTCTTAAAAATCCATTTGATACCTATCACGTTAACATCATTCGGCCTAGGAATAAGCATCCAAACTTTGTTACGTTCAAATTGACCCAATTCTTCATTCATAGCATTTACGCAACAATCATCATGTAGGGCCTCTTTTATGTTTTTAGGTTCAATTATATAAACATAACACACAAGTGATACCTCTTCCCAAATCTGCCTTCAGGTTTTCATTCAATCGGTGACACTCTCTATCACTTTTTGAATTGGAAGATTCAGCTTCACCCTTGACAATGGCTCCAAAATAGGAGATGAGGGGACTAGATTGGACAAGGTTAAACCTCCTAGAATGTTTATAGTATTTGGACTTGAAAAATGATATGGTGTTTGTTTCACCTCTTGAGTTTTCTCTTGGCTTGAAGTAGCCACATTCTGTGCTTGAGGATTACCTTCTTCATCCTTGTGTAGAGATGCTATCGGAGAACTTGTGTCATCTATAACCACATTGATAGATTCCATGATAGATAATGTACGTGGATTGTGAACACGAAAGGCTCTACTTATAGTTGGATTCCCTAGAAAAATACCGTCATCACTACGGAAGTTAAATTTGCCCAAAGGCTCTCTATCTTTGAAAATGTAACATTTACACCTGAAAGTTTTGAAGTATTTTACATTGGGTTTCAATCATTTCCACAGCTCATAAGGAGTTTTCAAAGTATCAAGCCTCAAATATACACAATTTACAACATAAACCGCTGTATTTAAGGCTTCGGCCCAAAAATTGAGAGGAACTTTCTTGCTCGAAAGCTTAACTCTAGCCATTTCTTGAACCACACGGTTCTTCCTCTCAACAACACCATTTTTCTATGGAGTAATATGTGCAAAAAAATCATGTTTGATGTCATGCATATCACAAAAATCTAAAAAATAACTATTTTCAAACTCACGACCATGATCAGTTCAGATTCTAGTGATACGCCCAATGGTATCCCCACGTCCATTTTGGATCTTTAGGACCAATGACTTGAAAGCATCAAAAGTATCATAATTTTCACATAAAAAATTAACCCAAGTAAAGCGTGTAAAATCATCAACGATTAGAAAAAAATATATCTTTTACGTCCAATGCTCTTAGTGCAACTGGGACCCATAAGATCCATATGAACCAACTCAAGAGGATGCTTGGTCATTAAGCTATTCACCTTCTTGTGTGAAGCACAAGTTTGCTTGCCCAATTGGCATGGCCTGCACACATGGTTCAAAGACTTACTCAATTTTGGCACTCCTCGTGCAAGTTCGTTATTGGCGATCTTAGTTAGGTCTTTGTAGTTGATATGACCTAAACGTTGATGCCACAAGTCAAGATTGCTTATGGTGGCTGAATGGCAAGTAAGATCACTGGTTGTGTTAATACCACTGCAATTGTCTGATGTGCACACACCATGCAAAATAGTATTTCCATTTTTTTCCAAAATCTCGCATTTATCTTTTGAAAATGATACCTCATGGTGTGAGTCACACATTTGACTAATGCTCAAAAGATTAGCCTTAAGTCTATCAACAAGCAACACACTATCCAATTTAGGTAGACCCGGAGCACTTTAGGTAGACCAGGAGCACTTATGGAGCCCTTACCAATGACTCTAGAGGTGTTTCCATCTCCAAATGTGACAATTCATCCTTCATAATTTTCAAGAGATATGAAGTAGGACTTGTCATCGGACATATGACGAGAGAAGCCACTATCAAGATACCACATATGCGAGTCACGCGCTTTATAAGCAGTGTGAACAACAAAACAAGACAAGTAATTTTTTCTTACCCACACTCTTCTAGTCTGGACTAGAGAAGGATCATCACGATTCTTGGGTAATGTCTTGGCATTGAGAGTACCATTGTGAGCCATGGTATTCCACTTTAACATGTAGGGTTGTCTCCTAACTCACGAGCTATTAGGATTTCTTCTACCTCTTTGAGACACCCTAGCAAACAACTTAAAACAATAAGGATGAATATGGCCATACCTACCACAATGATGACCAATAAAAACAAGTTTTACCTCCTTTTCACCATTCATACCAGCTTTGGGTTGATGTTGAAAATTATCACCATATTGCACTTTTTCTTTTCCCTTTCCTTGAGTTCTTTTATCATGAGATATGGAGGCATTTCGATACTGCGGTTGATGACCTCCATAGCCAATCCCGCTCTTGTCTAAACTAATTTGTTGAGACCCAATGATATCCTCCAATATCTTTGACCCTTTGTTCCATAGATCAATTTTTGCCTTTGCACTCTTGAGTTATTCTTCTTTCTCTTTGACAAGTTCCTCTAAAGCTTCTTGAGACATCTCGAGAGTTTCAATATTTTCTTCATAGATTACATAAATTTTCTAAATCTCATTTCGCTTAGTCTCACTCATCAATATTTTTGCAGTGAGGGCTTGCCGATCATTAGCGATCTTGATAACATCATTCCTTTTCTCAGATATCTCCTTTTTTAATTTGCCGTTCTCAGTTTCACAAGCTTTGAATTTGACAGTGAGTTTGTCGTTAAACTTTGACAAGTCTAGAGATTATGTGTACAAGTTTTCATAAGCTTGTTGGAGTTCTTCACTATCTATTTCATCTTCACTCTCAGAAGATTCATTATCAACAACATTCACAGATAAAACTACATCCTACCTTTGATTCTCACCCACCTCAGTCTATCCAGTCGAGCAACTAGAGCATTGAAGCGAGAGAAACTAGATGCTTGTGAAGATGATTCTGCTCTTTCATGGAATTGCAATAACACATCCCAAGAATCTTTAGCATTAACTCAATAAAAGATGCATTGTTGTTCTTCTTCAGAAAGAGCTTCTCTAATGGTGTTCAAGACACGTTCACTACTATCCATATCAACTCTTTCACTTTCATCCACTTTTCTATAGGCTTGATAGATTTTTGATTTGTGACAGGATCAATCACAAATGGAGCTTCAATATTTTCTTCAATTGTTTGCCAACATTCTGGATCCCAAGCTTGAAGAAACACACTTATTCTACATTTCCAGAATGAATAGTTACTCCTATCACAAGTAAGAGCACGATAGAGGTTGGCACCTCTTGCAAACTGAACAAGCCTTGGAGTAGATTGAGGAACATTGGAATAAAATGCCATGAAGGTACTCTCACCATCTTCTCCGAAGTATGCTTCATCGGCCTCTTGCTCAAATTCACTATCATCATCCCAAGTCACAATGTAAACTTTCTTTTTGTTTTTCTTGGAAGGTCATTCAAGAGCCAAATGCCCAAACCCTTGGCATTCATAACATTTGACTCATTGTCCTCTCATTATCTTTTTCTAGAGTTTTGAAACAAATTTGAGTTTATCATTACCCTTATCCTTGGAACTAGATTCCTTGAAATTAGGCTTCTTTTTCTTAAAAAACAGTTTGAACTATTTTATAAATAAAACCGTCATTTTGGACTCTAGATCAATTTATGATTCCATGCAACCTCATGAGTACTAGAAAAGGCCACTGTTTCCTATTGTTTTTTCTTTGAAATCAAGTTTGCCTCGAAGGTTTGCAAGTTTCCAACCAGTTGATCAAGCTTGCGGTTATCAACATCCTAAGCCTCCTCTATAACCATCACTTTTGATTGGAATCTATTGAGTAATTACCTCAAAATTTTTCCAATGACTCGAGATTTAGGGATTTTTTCACCTAGCGTGAAATAGGAATTCACGATATCATTGAGTTTAGCATAAAATTCATCCAATGCTTTATCCTCTCGCATAAAAAGAGTTTCAAAAGCTAAGGTGAGACGTTGAAGTTTTGACCTTTTAACAAAAGTGGTACCCTCACAAATCGTTTCAAGAATATCCCAAGCCTCTTTTGCTACCTCACAAGTACAAATACGACAAAACTCTTCCTGGGTAATGGAGCAAAGGAGGGAATTGAGAGCTTTACTATTCCAGTTCGAGTTTTGATAAACAATTGTATCCTATTTATCAATTGGTTTGGGAATTTCAACACCTTCATTAATCAATACCGGTTCACTCCACCCATAGATAACAGAATGTCAAACTTTCTCATCAATGGATTTTAAAAATACCCTCATATGAGCTTTCCAATATGAGTAATTTGTTCCGTCAAGTAAAGGAGGTCTATGGGTTAAATTACCTTCACGAATTGAATCCATTAATACAAATCACAAAAAATACACTCCTATAGCTTTAAAAGTAATCAAAGAACGAGTAACCTGCTCTGATACCAATTGAAAAATCTAAGTGATTCATGATTCAATATAGATTTAATTGCAATAAATCCCAAACACACAAAACTAACAATCTAAATCATCTAGCACGTACAAAAGTGATTTAGATTGTTGTTTCACAATAGATAAATCTACACAAGAGATTTAAAGTGGAAAAGGCACAAATGAAACACCTCTAATTGTGACAAAAAAAATAAATATATAAAAAATAAAAAACCACGGCCAAAGGCCACTAAATGATCCACTATGAAGATAATGAAACTACACAAGAGTACAAACAATAACCCAACTCACTCTCGTATTGTCTTCCACTCCCTGTGTCGCTTCCACCAACGCCTTCATCTCGGGATTGAATAACATGATGTTGAATCCACAACACCCAAGTTGAATCCACAACTATGAGTTGCTTTGAACTCCTTCAGAGCATCCAAGCTCAACTTCTTGGAATCCACCAATGGACACTCTTGATGGTTAAATTGTGACAAGTTCCTTGATGTATACAAATCAATCCAAATGAGATAGCAATCTCACAATGAAATCAAGGAAAACAATGAAAAGCTTCCTAGCAGATTGCTCAAGAGTACTTGAGGCTGCAAACTTGGATATGGACGAGGCAACCCTAACAAACAACATAAGTTGCCTGTTATAGTAATGTAGCTCGACTTTTTGTACTCCTTTCAGAAGATGAATAAGCCCTACAATATCGAACTCTCGCAGTTCTAAATTTGATCTCACAAGTACGATGTGAAATAGATAAACACCAAAGAGTCCAAATCCGACAATTCTTTTTGGAAAATCAATGTTTGAATCAAATGCCAAAAATGGACTGCTTTGCCAGATTTCAGAACCGCCACCTAAATGTTTTTGCAAAATTTAAGAAATCCAAGACTCGTGCCAAAGGCCATTAGTCCGTCATCACCAAAGTATCTTGGCTCAGGAACTTAATGAGAGGGGAAGGTCATAAATTGAGCACCCCACTTGTTCGATCAAAGATCGACATCTACTAATCATGATATAATTTGTGTTTGCATTATACGCTCTTATTCTAGTTATTAGCCTAACATTACTATGTGATGCACACAAGTATAGATTAATTTGCAAAAATTGGAATATTTCATGCATGTTTGAAATTTTTTTTTTATACGCGTCACTTGAAAAGCTGAGTTTGTATGCACATTAATCAATTTGTCCCAATTTAGGCAACTAGCCTTCATCCACAGACATTCAAACAGTTATATCATTTAAGCAATTAGTCTCATAGTAGACATACTAGACATGGCAGCACTAACATTAAATGCAATATGCTAAAGTAAGTAAATGCTCACCTAGTACTGCAAGTAAAAAAAGGTGAAAGAGTCAGAAAAATTCATGATCCTAACTATGCAATATGACTAATGTAACGCACATATTATGTATTTTATGGACTGGGCTATGAGCATGGCATCTAATTTTATTCAAGACATGCTATAAGGCACGTAGTCAAGTAATGAGTTTGAATATTTGATATTAGGTTAGCATGATAAGCTGAACCATGGATGCATGTAAGACAATGGATGCAAAACATGGAGTATGCAAACGAAATGTGATGTTTCTAAACTAACCATCGCAAGCAAGTAAGTAAAAAAGAGAAAGAAATGGGGTTGAAAGACATGCAATTTATTACAACATTGCCCTCGTGCAAGAGGGTGCGAGTCAAAGTTTGAAAGTCCGAATTAAACTACTTATTTCAAAACCGAATGAATAAATTAAAGAAGTAACTAGCTAACTATGCTACTACAACAAGGATAACCATGATAAGTAAAATTAACTATCTAAGCTAACTAGCTATAATAATTACAAATTAACAAGATTAATGATAACAAGACTAATAAATTAATTAATTACAATAATGCATAGACCATTAATACACAAGGGTTGCATGCACAAGGTTTCAGAACAGCACTGTCTGCCTTGGCTTGCTCTGTTTCACCTTCAGCCACTGCCCTCTGTTTTCTGTGAAAATACACTGCTAACCAAACATTAATGACCGGTCGGCCCTCAATGAAGCCCTGTCGGGCTTAAATAAGGCCGACCGTGCCTCAATTTCATGCGAAATTCTATTTTGTGCTCTGAAGTGAAAACAGTGCAGACAGAGTGTTCTGGACTCTGTTTGTCCCTTATACACTTCTCTATCATGGGATAGTGTCGAGAGAAGGTTGGAATCGTTTCCAAAACCATCAATGAGCAAGTTGATTGCTTGATGATTTCGATACACAAGTTGCACAAAAATCAATAAATGATAGGAACTATAACCACCCCTCCCTCCTATCATGGAGTGAACTCAAAGAGGGAGGTAGAGACACTTCAGGATCCATCAAAACATCATGAATTGATATAAGACAACTCTTGACACAATGGATTTGGCATAACATCCAGCCAAATCCCAAGCAACATAACTCATTTTCTTTATGTGAGTTGGTTCATTTTAAGACAAATTCATTAGTCTTTGCCATCCTTTAATCCATTAAGTCCAAGATGACTGTTACGTCCACTAAGTGAGAAACATGTCAAATGGGAGGTGATTCTCAACATGAAAAAGAGACTACACTGTTGGCAATGAACATTCATAGAGATTAAGCCATTAAGCGTAGATCACTAGTTCATGTTTTGAATAACCATCAACCAAGTGAAATAATTTTCAAATGAAAGAGATGAATGGCCAGTTGATTATTAAAATGAGGTCCGTAAATGGAAATGAATTGAAGAATGGCTAAGAACAATGGACAACAAGCTATGGAGACAAACTTATGAGACAGCAACTAAGCTAATCAAAGCATGAATTATTTAAATAACTTAGAACCCTAAAATAGCCCTTATATGATAAAAAACAGTGGCTAAAAATGCATGAAAAAAAGCCTAAAAAGCTAATCAACAAAGAAAGAAAACAAGACTAGTAATCAAGAATATGGAGGGGTGGCTAATCTCTCCACTTGTGAAACCTCAAAGTATAATTTTTAGCCCTTCTTTAACTCTGAAAATCAGTGTAGAGAACAAAGACAAAGAGTGTGAAAGTGAGGATTTGAGCTATAGGTAAAGGTGTAGAAAGAATAAACTCTCTCTACCCTTTTAGTAGCTCTACAAACCCAAACTTTAAACACTTAAAATAGAATCAAAGCAACATGAAACTACAAGAACTATATAGAAAATGAAAGAAATGAAAGAAATGAAAGCAAGAGGGAAGATAACAAGCTTATACCTCTCAAGGAAGTAAGTTAGCATTTGATTATGAACCAAGCTAAGTCTCAACACACTCTCAAGTTTGAATTATGGTGTTCAAGGTTCAACCAAGGTTCCTAAGCTAAGGTATGAAGGCATGTATGGTGTATGGATATAGGTTCAAGGTGATAAGTTAGCTTGAAGTGTTGCTTGCATAAGAAGAAGGAGAAAATAGAGCTCTCAAAGTGGTATAAAGGCTTTCTTGAAACTCTTTAACCCTCAGAACAGAGATATATGGTCGTTTTTTTTATAGAATTTGAGTCAAAAATATCATAAATATCTTCAAAAATGGACAGCTAGCAGCCTCCTGCCTAGAACAGTGTTTCTCGCTAATAAGGCACAACCGGCCCTCAATAGCCATGGCCGGGCCTCAATGCATTTCCCTGTTTTTCTGTTTCAGCCTCAACATAGGGTGACACAATGTGTGAAAATGGATTTCTTGGGTATAATTAGTGGGAATATGGGAGGTTTGGGGTTGTTTCGGAGCATAAACATGGCCACTTCATTGTGACCTCGAACTACGCACAACATCACTTTCATCATCGAGTGTACCAAACAAAGCGCTCGAGCCTTGCGGACGGTCAAAAATAAGGTGTCCACAGTTGCCCCTCTTTGACAGAGCTCGAAATCATAAAGTGACGTGAGTGAATGTCGAAGTCCGGAGACGACCCATTTGACAAGGCCGCAAGGCTCAAGCAAGAAATCACAACATAAATGCAAAGATTGAACTCGAGGGCAAAATGTAAAAATGAAATGCAGCAAATAACTTATGGTCATGCAATGAAGCAATGCAATGAAATACAATGTAAATGAAGCAATGAAACATTGCAACAATCTAGACAAGAATGCAACATTTGAATAAAAATACAAATCAAAGCAAAATAAACCTCACTATGTTTCACATGGAACGAAGTGAATAAATAGGCAAGCCTCGCGTGAAAAATACAAAAAAAGCACAAACCAACCTACGTCTCATGTAGAAAGGATGTACGAAAATGCAAACCTAACTACGCCTCGCATAGAAAAGGGGGAAGGGCGACATAACCATCAAGCGCACCCGAGGTCTCAACTGAGATCCTAACGCGTTGCATGTGAGAGGAGAAAGGGTGGTGTGAACAAACAGGCGCACCTGATGTTTTTAACCGAGAGTACAATCCTAACGCATCACACGCAAGAGGACGAAAGATGGTGTGAACGAACAGGTGCACCTACTGTTTTTAACTGAGGATACAATCCTAACGCATTACACGCGAGAGAAGGAAGGATGGTGTGATCAACGGGTGCACCTGATGTTTTTAACCAAAGGTACAATCCTAACGCGTCACACGTGAGAGGAGGAAAGGTGGTGTGAACACCGGGCACACCCAATGTTTTTAACCGAGGGTACAATCCTAATGCGTTGCACGCGATAGGAGGAAAGATGGTGTGAACAACGGGCGCACCCGATGTTTTTAACTGAAGGTACAATCCTAACACGTTACACATGCGAAAAGGAAAGATGGTGTGAACAAACAGGGAGACCTACCATTTTTAACCGAATTGAACAATCCTAACGCATCACAAGTGAGAGGAGGTAAAGTTGTATGAACACCGGGCGCACCAGATGTTTTTAACTGAGGTACAATCCTAATGTGTTGCACACGAGAGGAGGAAAGGTGGTGTGAACAACGGGTGCACCCGTTGTTTTCAACCGAAGGTACAATCCTAGCGTGTGAAACACGAGAGGAGGAAAGGTGGTGTAAACACCGGGCGGACCTGATGTTTTTAATCGAAGGTGCAATCCTAACATGTCACACACGAGAGGAGGAAAGGTTGGATTGATGAAAGAACAAACAAATCGCATAAGTGAAATCAAAACAATCAAAGCAGTGTAGTAAAGCGAAAGCCAATTTGCCAATGTGTTGAAACAATGAACACAACGCACCGCGTTTTAATGTGGTTGTGAGATAGATAATGAATTTACTGTGGCACGAATGATTTATCTCGAACTCCTCTGAATGAACCGTACATACAATATCATTTGTTTACGATATAACAGAACAGACAATTTAGGCAAAACAATTTATAAACTAACAGAACAGTTTAAACAAATTTAAACAAATCAAATTGCGACTTAAACTATGAGTTAAAATAAATGAGTTCAAACAAACAAATTATGAATCAAATCATGCATTCATACAATAAATCCTAATGAACAAAAATTCTTTCATTTCTTTTCCACTCTTTTCATACTTTTCTTTTCTTTTCTTTTTTTGCTTTTTTTTTTTATGTTCTTTAATTTCTCTTTTTCGTTTTTCTTTTCTCTTTCAACTCTTTTTTTTTTTCTTTTGGTTTTCTTGAAACTCCATAATACAAGAAATAAATAAAATAAATAAAAGAAAGAAGAGAAAGAAAAAGAAACAAAAC